CTGCAGATACCCTGCAAGGTGATTGAATAGATTATGAATATGATGCTTAATCTTTATGCTTTGATTGCAGTGAATAACCGACAGATACCCTGTATTCTAATGCCTACAGGGTATGTATTGTACGCCACACAGGGCAACTCTTAGTCGCTAGACTAATATCTATAAGCTAAAATGTTTTGCTAAGCCAACTACAATTAGCTTGCTCATGTATAATGTTAGTTTCTTCAGCTGACCAACTACAGATACCCTGTAAATGCAACTTGCCGAGCTGCAGCAACTGCAGCTACAATGATTTACTTGCAGCTTCGCACAATTTATCGCTGAACATATACCACAGATGCCGAAACCTAGGGTATAACAGTCTATGAGTGCATGTTTGTAGTCAGCGCTGCGATCAGTTGACTGGCACGACATTTGGCTAAATTATGGCCTGACTTAGCTTGGACTCGAGCTCTACACTGACTCTGACTCTGACTCTGACTGTGACTCTGACTCTGACTCTGATGCTGGCTGACCAAACGAGGACAGTTGTTCAATCTGATTCTCTGCTGCACACCGACAGCAACCCCTCGACGTAACCCTCACCCTCACCCTCGTCCTCAATCGCGTGCACTCCCCGCTCGCCTGCCTCTCGCGTGCAGCGCTGCCTCCTCATCTTCAACTCCCTCTCTCCAATTGTTTATTTGTTTGTTGTGTTTTTTTTTTTTTCATTTTTTGGGCCGTGCCCACAGCCAAATGGCGCTCTGTCAATCAGCAGCAGCTGCACTAGTGGGCGGGGAGCGGTGGGCTGGCTCTGGCCACTTATGGGGCGTGTTCGACCCCAAATGCCAATCTGAGCTAGGCGGGCATTGTTGTTGTTGCTGCTGTGTTGTTGTTGTTGTTGTTGTTGCTGCTGCCGCTGTGTTGTCTTTCATTAGCCGTGATTAGGTTTGAAAGCCCCAAAACAAAATCAAAGCAAACGAGTAAAAGTCCGAGCCTGTGAAATGTATTGCGACTAGCAAATACCCTGTAGACAAACTTGAATTCATTTATATATCAAATCCGCTCAAAATTTAGGTAATTTCTTGGTCAATTTAGAGTCTATCGATTATCGATATGATATATCGCTTATCTAAAACTAAAATATCTATTAAAAAAATATCAATTAAGCAATGATCGACAATCGATTACAAACAAAGATGATCGATAAATGATACATCTCTTATAGATACGAATCATGTATGTATATGGAATTCTATGAAATGGTTAGCTGAACTGCACAACTATTTGTACTGGTGAATCGATTCTAATTAATTGTTACATATTATCGATATTTATCGATTATTGCATATGTCTGTAAAATATTACAGTTAAATTGGACAAACTAAGTCAACATTTAATAATAATCTAGCCCCTGTGCTCAATAGTAATACACCCTGTTAACGAACATTTTCAATAGCTTACAGGGTATTACGCAGAAATTGCCTATTTCCAGTTATTTGCTTCAGCGCTTGTTGTTGTCAGTTGTTGCTGTTGCTGTTGCTGCCACGCGCCAAGAGCAACTACAGCAGCAGCAGCAACAACAAAAACTCGAGCGCCACTTTGGGCTCTTGACAAATTGTGAGCAACGTTCGCAATTGAAACAATTTAATCCAAAGCAACAACAACAACAACAACAGCAGCAAATGCAGCGAACAACATTGGCAAATGAAACGTTTTTTAAGCGCGCACAGTGGTATTTAATGCAAGCAAAGCTATTGATTGCAATTGAAATAGTTCAAAATGAAAATAAAAAAATATATAAAAAAATTATAATTATCATCATATCATATCATTGGGTAGGCCTTGAAGAAATGCTTTTAAAATATTTCAAATAAAGCTAACATTTTCTATAGGGTATCTGCAAGTCGTTCACTGTACTACCAATTGACTCTAAAATGAAATAATGCTTCGCGATTATTTGCCAAATGTTAACAACAAAAATGGATCAATCTGATTGAAAAATTTTTGTTCACAAGAACTAGTTCGCATGAACTTTAAGCATGAACCAGTTCGCAAATTAATGGCCAAAAACTAACAGAAATTGCACTAAAAATCAACTTTTTTTTATTAATTGCCTTCACATTTTGTTGCTGCTGCTGCTGTGAACTAGCAGAAAGAACTGGTTCGCAATTGAAATGTCGCAGGCATTAAAATACCAATCGAGTGATTAATTGCCATTTACCGTTGCGCGAACTGTTATCGATGCCAATAAGTGTTTAGTTTTGATGTATCAGAAGCTATTAATAAGCCAAGCGAAAGAGAGCTATGCGAGAATGTGTGTGAGTGTGTGTGCGTGTGTGTTTGTGTGTGCATATTTATCGATAACTAGTGAAAAGCAGCGCATGCATAAACATGTCAACGAGCGAGTTTTTAAAAGCAAATGCCAACGAGCAAACACATGTACGAACATGATCCAAATAAAAGAGGTTGGGGTGGTGTGATCTGTGTAGGGCTGTGGCGGCGGCAGGGGGTTGTTGTCTTGGCTAACTAGCTCCTTCGCGTGTAACACCGGGCGTATGATAAATGTGGCTTTAATTGTGACCTGCCAATTGCCAGGGCCAGCAGGGGCTGGACAGCAAGAGCGAGACAGAGAGAGAAACGGAGAGAGAGGGAGAGAGACGAAACGAACTCGTGGGCGTTCAGCTGTGGATCAGCTAAATATTGCCATTTATTCGCATTATAGATTAAATATATTCCAATTCCGAAACAGAGAAAAAAAAATAAAGGCCGCAGCATGCAAACACGACAGCAAAATAGATAATAAATAATTAATAAATAAATAAAGTAAACAAACAACAGCAACAACAACAACAAGGGCTCAACTACATGCGATTTGCATATCAACATTTCACATTAAATTCTATTGAAAGCTTTTCTCACTTTAGCGGCAATTTGTATATGTACGTAAGTTTATATATTTATACATATATTTATACATACATATGTATATATATTCGTCTATGTATATTACAGGGTATAACATGTACAATGTTTGGCTGGAAATGTACCTCCTTATATGCATATTTACTTTAAACGAGATGGAAAGAAGGATTAAAAGAGATCATGAGATCATAGTCTCGAGTCGATATATAGGCACACTCTTCATAGGTGTATATATATACACCTTTACACTTTTACACTCATATAAATAATATTTTGTATACATATGTAACCAAAGAATTTCTTTTCTTCTTTAACAATTAACTTTTGTTTATAATTTTGTTCATTTTGTATTTGTTTAGCCCTGATTTGCTGATCTACAGAGCATCAGACAGTCGGATATGCCCAGCTGTAAAGTGCTCACTCATTTTATGTTGTTTTTTTCAGCTTATATTGCTTCTTTATTTCTCATTTTTGAAATTCAATGAGCCGCATTTACAGCCTCAATTATCAGCTACTTACGCGATGTCAAATAGCTAAAGATGAGAGCGTGACACGAAGCTGCTGATAAGCCATATCAATATCATACGATAATAAAAAAATGATCGGTACATATATCAGTTGATGTATATGGCTGTTAATTTACAGTAAACCCCATTTTCACATTCTTAAATAACTAATTATCAAAAAATGTCGTGTATATCGTGTCACGTGATTCGTGGTTTTGGGAGCAGCGTGTGCAACCCGTGCCATCTCCAAGCGTAAAAGATCTGAACGAACCGCAGCAAACGTTCGATGCAAGCCAATAATATATTTATTGGCATTGATTTACACGGAAGCCCTGACCTCAGCTCACACGCCCATTCCCCTAAACCAGCCACCCGCCGTGCGCCGTGCGCCGTTCGCCGTCCGCCGTCCGCCGTAAACGGCCTGAGCGGGTGCTGGCAACAAAATTTATGATGGCATTTACCTAATGGCAGCGCCGCAATGTAAAATGCAAAATATCTGAGAAATATGCAAAAATTTATAGTGTTATTTGTAATTAACACGAAATAGAACAGCCATACATAAAACATGTTGTAAATCGCATAACAAACGTCTCAAGCGTTATATGACGACCGAGCGAAACTACATAAAAATAGATAAATAAATTTGATTTAAGATATATGTATATGATAGATGAATAAAGTTAGTTTCAATTGGGCTAGTAATTTATTTTTATATTTAACTACATATACTTCAACATGCATTAAAAGTATCTCAATCTGATATAATTTCAACTGCGCCTAAAAGCACGCCATATATTTTATTTTAATCAACTGAGCGTACGTTTAAGTCGATACAACCACCAATACGCGGCTTGCTGGACGAAAGTTACTCGCTTACTTAGCTAAGTTTTAGCCCATTTCAGACTAAAAAAAGACACCCGCTTAACCAGAAGTAGTCGTCAATACTAACTAAAAAAGGCTGCTTGCTTAGTAAAGCTCACAGCCGATTCAAGTAAGGCTTCATTTTCACTTCATTTCAAACATTTAATCCTGCCACTAGCAGCATAGAAATATCGAAGACACACACCCAGTACTAAAATAAGCAATGGCGAAAAGATGAACTAGCACAACGCTAATTAAGCGCAACACCACTAACCCTAGTAAGACACAAACCAGAGCTAAAAAGATATTTTAAATTACTACATTTAGCTAATACATACACCATTAAGCATAACACTGTATATGTGAACGAATATAAATTAAAACAATTTTAAAAGAAAATGATATAAATTGTTTGACTTGTATATAATATTCTTACAAAAATTTTACAACAACAGACAGTGCATATACCATCAAAATCACACTAAAAATACACACAGGCGAACAGGCTATCATGGACAACAACCACAGCTATTTAGACCTACAACCGATGGCCCATTCAATTAGTTCAATATTCAGACACACACCCGAAAGGCGCAAAGGACAATGCTTATTTGAGCACTTATCGATATATGTGGTCGATAGCGATGAAATCACACTCGATAGGATGGGCTGTATTAAAAGGGCATCGCCTAGCAACATGGGCGACATTGGCAACATTCGTTGCAGTTGGCAACGCACGCACAACACTCGCATAGCCAAATAGAACGGGGCAGTCGAATCGGTCGGTTTTGGCTTTAAAAGCGCCAGAGCTTAACTAAAGAAGTGCATAAATCTTTCTCTCTATATATATATATTTATATATATATATAGATAGATAATAAATAGAATTTTTTTGCTTTATTTTTGCTGCTGACATACATATACAAGTGCGTGTGCGTGTGCGTGTATGGCAAAAGTGCAAAGTGAATTTTTTTCGTTTGTTTTTTGTTTATTTTTATTTGACTATTTTGCAATATGTTTGCCAAAAGTCTAATGTCCGTGTGCGTACGTTTGTGTGTGTGTATAGCTGCTGTTCAAGTGGTCGTTGAGAGGCGGGGCGGGGCTGCGGCTGGCATACCATAATTAAATACAAGTGAAAAATCAATACCGTTATACCGTTAGCATTTTGTTGTTGTGCCTGCGCAACCAATTCGCCTCGCTACGGGTGTGTGCGTGTGTGTGTGTGTATGTGTGTAGCTAAAGTTAATTCATAATAAGAAATTCGCTCTAAACTAGACTTCAGGCTCCACACACATGCCTATGTGTATGTGTATGTGCGTGTGCTGGTGTTGGTGTTGGTGTTGCTGCTGTTGCCAGGCAGTCGGAGCAACAAACGCAGCGCAAGACAAAGCCCAGAACGCTCCAGCTCCACGCCCACTCGCTCTTTTCTCCCAGCAACTTCACTCGACTGCAGCTAACAGTTATCCCTATTTCCTTTTTGCTGCTCTTTTTTTTAGGTCACATTCGATTTTCGCTCTAAGCTCTTAATTCGCTGCGACGGCTACACACACACACACACACACATACACACACTCACAAACATATGTATAGGATGCCGTTGCACACTTATGCAACGCTGGCGACATCTGACGGCATAATTTGCCATAATTAAAACAGCACGAATTTAATAATAAACCGCTAAGGCGAAAAAGTCAGCTAACGGCTTTAAAAGCAGCGACGGTGGCAGCGGCAGCGACAGCGACGATGGCAGCGGCAATGGCCAACAACAGCAACTCCTCGGCAACCGCATCGCTGGCCACAACGCCGGCGACGACGCCAACGACGCTGACAACAGCAGCAACAACAGCCAAACGCATGGGCTACACAACGCCAGCAGCGACGTCAGCAACGGCGTCAGCATCGGCATCTGCATCGGCGTCAGCGTCAGCGCCGGCAACGGCGTCAGCGTCGGCGTCGTCAACGACAACGTCTTCGGTCATCTGCAAGGAAGTCTTCGATGAAGCCTGTTTACCATCATCCGAGGGTAAGTCGAAGCAAGAGCTGAGTATCTAGGGCAATTGTGAGATTACCTATGTATGTATGTTAACAGCATGCTGTAAATGGGCGGTTAATGGACTGTTAATGTATTTGAAATGTTAAAGTATTTAATGGATAAGCCTTTAATCTAACTGCTTAAGAGGCAACTGCACAATATCAATTAATATTGTATTAACAGAGATTAAACATATGTCAATCATGTTAACATATGTAAGGCAAAGTACCTTGAGAATTAGCAATATGATAGAGAATCTGCAAAAAGGCTAACTGCAATGCTATGAAATTGTCGATCGATACTTATCGATTTTGAGCAAAGCCGGAAAAGCTAGTCACATATAATCCAATTGTCATATGGAAACAGCAAGGTCAACTGATACTTTATTGATGTATGCACACACACAATATATACATATACATATATATATATATATATATAGCACACCCTACCTTAATAATTGATTGACATAGGATGATAAATAGACTCTAGACAAGAAGCGAATACTATTTGCATCAGCTATACCTCAACAACCGCTTAAGTTATCGATCAATTCTAACTGCTGAAATATTTAAAAGAGTTTGCCACCTCAATATGAATCATCTAATCTAAATATATATGTGTGTATATCTATAAACCACATCAAAATCTATTTAAAGCAGTCCATCAACTTTTTATAGCACTCTGTACAGAAGCAACTCTTGCTTTAGTCCAACATCCAATTTGTTTTTAATTTAGTTATTAAATCTATGATGCAACACGGCAAGTTTTCCTGGCTGCAATTAATTTTCCAATTGGACAAAGTTTTAAACTAATAAGACTGCGCCCAATTAGCATGTCTTTAATTGAGCTATTTGTTGCGCAGCAGGCGACCAAGCCCACCCGCTATGTGTTGTGCGCTACAGTAGTCACACGATAAGCGAGAATACTTCAAACTAAGACTGGAACTTGACTTTCAATGGCTAACATATAACTATAGATATAGGATATAGGAATCGAGCAATAAAAGCTTTGTCGCATTAATTGGAAATATTGTCTCAATTAGCGTGTGATTACTGTATGTATGAAATATAATATGTTCGCAGATGGCAAATGCGAATGCGATGTGTGTACGTTATATTTTTTTTACTACTTTGGCATGTTGTGTCCTTCAGAGTCCGGTTAATGGGTCAACTGAAAATGGATCTATCTACATAAGGTTTATATATGTATATATTGTATGTATATATACCCGGGTAGTTGGCTCGGAAGTCCGTCAATTAGTTAGCTTAGTTCGTGCCAGCTGTTTCGAGGACATCGATGAGCGAAACGCCGTCATTGCGGAACTGCGTAACTTGAGTCGAGGAACGTGTGAAAGGGGAGCAGAATGAATTTCTAAAGAGCTCCATTAAATACAAGTGAGTAAGCTGCTTAGTTGGTTTATTGGCGTGCTCAGTCTCAATCGGTTGTATCGACCAAGTGGAATGACGGAATTGAAGAACAATTTCCGACTGTAATCTCTCAATTTTGCTTTTGCGTGTCAAAGAAACGATGGATGTACTGAAGGTAATCTATGTTTACCCATAAAATGAATCCATCAAAATAGGGGAACGACGGGATTGGAGAGTGATGTGGAACCAAGAAATTGCTTTTGCGGCTTATGTTAATGATATCATACGATAAAGGGATGGACGCAATTTAGCAGACAGTTTTTAAGTGTTTTAAAGCTGTTTCAATGCGCATTACCTTTGCGGAACGGTGAGAACTGGGCCCTACGTGAAAAAGAGTAATAATGAAAGGAAATTGAATGTTGTGAATGTTGAAAATGCGTTGGGAATGTGTGCTCCACTCTCTGCTAGAAACAGCTAGAATAGGGGAACGCTGGAATTGAAACATGGAAAGAAAATTTTAAGTTGTGCGTGCTGAAGAGTTGAGTGAGTAGCTATGCGTGTGTGTGGGTGCGTGTGTCTGGGTGTGTGTGTGTGGGTGCGTGTGTCTGGGTGTGTGTGTATGTGTCCATGATTTGCTATGACGACGAGCCACCCTAAAGCCACCCTAAACGCAACAAAATGTTGGCCAAAACGCAAATTGTTCATGGCTTTTGAGGTTGCCAGGCAACGAGCGCTGACCGCTGCTTGAGATATGAATGTGGTTGCAGGTGCTGCACAGGTGGTGCCACCTGCAATCAATAAGAGCGAGCGAGCCGGAGTGAGAGAGAGAGAGGGAGAGCGGGAGAGTGTGTGTGGGCAAAAGAAGAAGAAAGAAGAGAGCGGACTCAGAATGAATGCAGAATGCAGGCCACGTCATTTGGCATTCAGTCGCGTTTCTTAGCCGGGCTTCGTTTGTTTAAGCCAAATGGCATTTTTAAGCGCTTGCAAGAATTCTTTTGAGCCCGTGATTCAGATTCCCGATTGCGCCGCAAAGCTATTCATACTGAAAGCTGAGCGCTATTGAAAAGCCTAAGGAATATATTTGCTCAAATTTCCTTTTCACTTCACTTCAAACAAAGCAGGCGGAACAGCGCCAGCTGGAGCAGGAGCAGAAGCAGGAGCAGGTGAGGCTGTGGCCATGCCTTGTGGCTGTGGGTGTGACACAGTTTGCACTGCTTTCATTACTCCTAATTGTTAAAGGGGCCTCATTGTGGCACAGCTAATAGCTCTTGGGGCATACAAAGTATGAGCACTCTCAGTCCATGCCTCAGTGGGTCACTGCACAAACAATGGCCAAGGCTCAAACGCTTTTGTGCTGCGGGCGCCATATTTGAAGTGCCTCGCGCTATATACAGCTAATTATGGGCGATATGCATATATATACATTCATATGTCTTCTTGGTTATCATATAATATAGAAGCTCCTCTAGATGCGCGTGCTTTATCTTTAAGATAATCTATATCTCAATTCTCAATATCTCGAGAAGTATAAGAGCTAGAGACAAAAGTTTTGGTATCAAATTTTTTAATACATAGATAAATGTATATATAAATCTCTTTTGGCAATCCCAGCCCCCTCTTGCTTAGTAAAGTATGTGATCTACTCCCAAAAGCCAAAGGTTTGAATACATTCTCTTAGTCTCTAAATACATAGCTCTAGCAGGCTATATATGTATATATATATAAATTGTCATCTAGTCTTCATGATTTGAAATAAATTCACATATCGTATAGGTAGAATATTCTACCCAGTAATTTGAACTATTCCGACACAACTTGTCAAGCGAAAACTCAAATTGTAAAACGAAAATCATTAAAGATTTCCATTCAATCGACTTCCTTTGCAGAGATAAACGATTATGCGACATTGATTGGAATCGATCCGAGCAAGGAGCCCCATTTGTTATATCTGGCCAAAGAGGGGCTTATGGCCGCACTGCCCTCCGAGTGGAAGATCTGGTGGGTATATTTCGACTGGTTGTATGTATCGGTAATCTAATAATTCCAACTCTTACACTCAGCTATTCGGAGGAAAAAGGCGGCCACTATTATCACAATACGCGCACAAAGCAATCGCAGTGGGATCATCCGTTGGACGCGGTCTATCGGGACTTGGTCGAGCAGACGCGTCAGAAGCTAGCAACGGCAACTGGTGCTGTTGCTGCTGCTGGTGCTGCTGGTGGTGGTGGCGGCGGCGGTGGTGCCACACCCATTATTGATAACTCGGACGATGTGTCGCAGCTGGACTCGGGCATACGTAGCATGCAAGGAACGGACGAGCTGCTGGACGACATGAGCTCACCCCTAAACAATGGCAGCAGCCAGACGGTTGGAACGTCAGCTGCGACTAGTGGTGCTGGCGGTGCCGGTGGTGCCGGTGGTGCCGGTGGTGCCAATGGTGCTGGTGGTGCCGGCAACTCTAAGACACATACCACGACTGGTGGCGCATCGGCTTTTCCGGGTCCGAGTGGGTTTAGCGGTGGAGTCAGTCGCTTCCTGGAGACGCGCGGCAAGAGCTTCGGGCCCATCTTTCAGCCGGTGAAGAACACACGCTTCGAGGTGGCCAAAACGAACCAGCAAATCAGTCTGGCCATGAAATTCGGCAGCATGGAACCGTCCCAGCCGCCACAAGAGCAACAGCAACAGCAACAACAGCAACAACCGAGGAGAGGCTCGTTCCAGCTATCCGGCACGGGCGCCATGTTCCTCAAGTCACGCCGCCAGCTGGAGACAACGGAGGGCGGCAGCACTGCGTGTGGTGTGAAAGGCATCCTGCGGGACTCCAGCTTGACGGACATGCGCAGGCGCTACGAGCGTGATGAGGATGCAGTGGTGGTGGAGGACAAGAAGAGCGTGCGCTTCAATCTGGTGGAGACCCAACGGATTTGCACCTCGCCCACTGAGGAGGACAATGCGCGCAAGCAGCAGCAATCGCCCGAGCAGTCCATGGAGGAGGAGGAAGCGGAGCAGGAGCAGGCCTCTGCGCAAGAGGTGGACCACGAGGAGGAGGAGGAGGATGATGATGAGGACGAGGCGTTGGGGCACGGCAATGCCGTTGCTGCGGCAGTGGCCGTCGATAGCAACGAAGACGACGACGATGACGACGAGGACGATGACGACGATGACGACGATGATGTTTGGGATGAGGACTTGGCCGATCCCGATGCCATGGTCGGCATGTGCAGCCTGAACCCCTTCATCAGTGACTCGAACAAGCCGATACGGATCATCAGCCTGCCCAAGGCCCAGACCATACAGATGCTGAAGCAGGATGTGGAGCAGACGAGCAGCTACTTGGACAAGCTGAAGGAGAGCTCGACGGCCACAGTGAAGCCGCTGTACGAGGACACCGACTCGGACTCCAAGGGCAGCTCGGTGCGCAGCTTCATCATCAATAAGTCGGAGCAGGAGTCGCTGCACGGCAGCAATCCGAGCAATCCCTTTGACCTCGACGAGCTGCACAGCAAGCACAGCCACGAGCTGGAGCAGCTGCAGCGCAAATCGGCGCAGACCCAGGCCCAGCTGGCCAGCGAGAAGCTCGGCCTGCGCAGCCTGAAGATGGCCAGCAAGCTGGTGGGCCTGCTCAAGAACAAGGAGCACAGCAGCGAAATGCTGAACGAGGCGGCCGCATTGCAGCAGCTGCAGAAGGACATGGAGGCAATGAAGCGGGAGCACGAGGTGCGCCTGAAGAGCCTGAGGCATGAGTACGATCTCCGTCTGACGGCGCACCAGCATCAGCTGGAGGAGGCGTTCCAGCTGCAGCTGGAGGAGTATCGCGACCAGCTGGAGCATCAGCTGCAAACGAAGCGCGCCCAGGTGGTCAGCGAGCACAAGACGCGCATGGCCACGTTGCAGTCGAACCATGCCGAGCTGCTGCACGAACTGGAGCGCGACCTGCGCTCCGAGCAGGAGCTGCTGCGGCGCGAGCATGCCACCAAGCTGAGCCAAATGCGGGACAAGCTCAACCACGAGCTGGAGCTGGAGAAGCAGCGATTGCGCGACAACGGCGAGGAGCGCCTCTACGAGAAGGTGCGCTGCGAGAAGCGTCTGCTCGAGGACAAGTATCGCTGCCTGAAGGAGAAGTACGTGCGGCTCAAGACCGATGTGAAGCTGTCATTGGAGCGACGCAGTCGCCGGCGTGAGGCGCAGGCCCAGGCCCAGGCGCAGGTCCAGGCGCAGCTGGAGCCGCACCTGCAGACGAACAACTCGGAGACTGAGCGTTCGCTGTCGCAGAAGCCGTCCATTGGCAACAGCGAGAACCGTTCGCTCAGCTACTCCGAGCAGGCAACCACCACGGACGTCAAGCTGAAGCCGCCAGTGCCCCCAAAGAGCCACCTGGGCAAGCAGGCAGCCAGCGTCTGTCTGGCCAGCAAGTATATCAAGCAGCTGCAGCTGCAGGACGATGCCAACACCTCGCTTAGCCAGTCGGACACAACGCTATCGAACAACTACAGCAAGGGGCGGTATCTGACGGCGCCATCGACCACGTTGGTGCTCAGCGACAACGGCAACTCGGACTCGGAGGCACAGCAGCAGCAGCAGCAGCAGCAGCAGCAACAGCAGCAACAGCAGCAGCAGCAGGAGCACAATAACAATAACAATAACAACAAAGCCTTAACGGTGCCTCGCAAGAAACTCTTCTCGCGCACCAAATCCGCCTCAACATCGCGTCTCAACTCCGACTACAACAAGCAGCAGCAGCAGCAACTGCAGCAGGTGGAACGTCCTTGCACGCCCGTTGAGAACCTGCGGCATCAGCTGCAGAAGCTGGAGGATCTGGAGGATCAGTTCCCGGAGCACACGCTGGATACCACATACCACTTGCGGTACCCCTTCACGGACATTGTGGCCAACGAGCATGCGGCCGTGGTTGGCTCGGTGGTTGGGTCCGAGCTGGAGTTCTTCAAGCATCGCATACACCTGGAGCGGGACTCAGTGCGTCGGGCCAAGGAATCGCTGCGCACGCAGCGCACCAATTTCCGTGCACGCCAGCGCGAGATCAAGCAGCGACACAAGAGCTTGACGATGAGCGCGCCCAGGCACTCGCTCGATCAGCTGATTCAGGAGGAGAAGGAACTGACCGAAATGGAAGTCAATTTGCATCGGACGCGCGCGCTGCTCGGCGAGAAGGTCATCAGGCTGAGGCACCTGGAGCAGAGCCTGCTGCGCATCTACGAGAAGGAGAAGCCGAGCCTGGAGCAGGAGCCCAAGGATGATGCCACCACGCTCAGTGATCTCTCCTCCCACTCCAGTTCGGGCTTCAGCAGCACCGACTTTGCCAGCGGCGCGGACTTGCACAAGCGCAAGGAGTACTTTCAGCAGGAGTCGAACGAGTGCATACAGAATCTGGAGATACTGAATGCCGAGATACGCGAAATACTGGACATCCTTGGCCAGAAGCAGCAGCTGCACCACCAGCAGCAGCAGCAGCTGCAGCAGCCGCCGCCGCCGCACCACCATCAATCGCAGTCGTCGCACGGCCTGGCCCTCACCATGCCGCTGATCTCGCCCAACGAGCTCAGCTGGTCGCATATGCTGAGCAGCCAGCAGTCCTCGTCGATGGCCACGACGATGGCCGGCACGGCCAGCGGCTCGAATCATAGCATTAGCACCACCACCAGCGCTGCTGCAGCGGCCGCCGCCTCGGTCCATGCACCACAGTCGATACCGACCCTGGCCGATCGCCTGGAGACGTACCGTCAGCTAGCAGCGGGCCGCATGCACAGCTCGATGGGCGGCGCCATCCTGGCGGCCAACACCATCGTGTCGCAGAGTCCACGGGCGGTCAACTACACCACCAGCCTGGTGGAGCGCACGCGCGACTTGCGCAACTGGCTGAGGCAGGCCAAGACTGAGCACGAGCTCCTCACGGGCATGAATGTGCAGCATGGCCTGGCCATGCATACGAGCGGCTCGACGGTGGGTGGCATCAGTGGCATTGGGGGCATCGGTGCGGCGGTGGGTGGCCATTCAACGGCCGGTACTTCGCCCGTTTCCAGCAGTGGTGCAGTGGGTGGTTCGGTGGTTGCGACCGCCAATTCAACCAATTCAGCGGCCAGCGCAGCCCAAACTAATTTCTAAGCGATTCGGATCCATTATGCAAAATCTAGTCCAAAATCTAGTCTAGTCGTAGGACATTGCTAGCCGTAGTTATACCCTATAAAGAGTAGCTTTATGTCTGTATATAGGATTAGCAAGCTTATTATTATTATGATTATTATTATTATGCCTATTGTCTGCCTTTTACGAAGCCTAGCATTGTTTTAACTTTTTTTGTCAACTGAGTTGCAGCTGCTAAGCATACCCTATAATTCTCAAATAATTCAAAATGTCTAGTTTAAGTCCAATATTTTTTGTTACATGTGCGAAGTGTAGTGCTCCAATTTTAGTGCAGGGTATTTGCAAGTCGAGCATTGCTTCTACTAGAAAAAGATATGAGAAAATATGTTTCTTTGATAATAAGTATTTTAATACTCTGCTGAAGTATATATTTTGATTATAACGGGGTATCTTCAAGTCAGGCATACTCTGTAATTATGAAGAAGAAATCAAATAATTGAAGTCAAAATTGTTAATTGTACTTATTAAAGACTCTGAACTTCAAGTGTTTTATGTTCATTACAGGGTAACTGATAGCCGAGCATATGCCGGTTTTTTAAGAAACAAAAATATTTACTCCATTTAAGTTGAATTACGATAGCTGAATCGTAGAATCTACATCCAATGTGCAATTTTAACTATAGAGTATCTGCTAGTCGAGCAAACCCTGTAATTGTGAAGAAGAATGTGTAATACTCAATTTAAGTGAAACAACCTATTGTTAATATTAAAGAGATACAGTCACATGCTACATGTAATATTACAGGGTAGCTACAAGTCAAGTATACCCTGCTGAATTAAAAAAAAAACTTTGAGTCGAATCTTATTATTGTAAGCATTGAAAAGTTACAGTTATATGCGCAATATTCATTGCAGGGTAGCTACTAGTCGAGCAATTTATTTGTGTTTCAGTCACGCCTAAATTCGGGGGCTTTAAATTGTTGTGCCCCAACTATTAGCTGCCAATAAACCGAAAGAAACCGATAAGATATAACCCTAAAAATCCCCGAGCAAAAAGAGAAATACAATTGTACAATTGTATACAATGAACCTAAATCAAAAGAAAAATCACAAAATTCTAACTAAGTAAATTAACTGCAAGTTAATCTGACTGTCATAGTTAATCAACGCTCTGCTACACTGAGAGAATAAATTAAAATATCAGATCTATTGTTGCAAATATTTGAAACGTGCAAATGTTTGGCCAACCAATTCGCATAGAGTTTTCAGGGTATTCACAATGCCCAATTCATATAAAATATATATACATACATAGATTGTTAAAAGACAGAAATGAACTCGCTTCGGCTGATCGAAGAGCTAATACCCTTGCAGACACATACATATGTTATTTTTGAAATTCGATTGTTTCTCTATATAAATGATATAGTAATTCCCTAAAGTCCTACCAAACTCGAAATTAAGGAGTAAAAGTAAGATCAAATGTACATCTAGAACCAACTCTAGGGCTAAATAGATCACTTATGAAACTTTTATTCGGCCTTTGGTACTTGGTAATCAAATATAGTTCGTATTTCATAATATCTTAAAGAAATATATTTCAAACTAACTTGCCATAGTTCCATCTGGATTTAATATGGGACATCATAGATATCGTACTTCAAGATATATTGAACACAACAAAATTGTAATTTTCAGACTAGGGATCCGTCCGATTCCGATGAGTATGAATATACATATATATATTTATGTATATGGGATCCAGAAGATAACATCGTTATTCATGACCAAAACAATTCCAAAACTATTTTTCCTCTATGATATAAAATATACCTTTATTGGACTTATCAATATCAGAGCTCGTTCCGGATAATATATTAGCTATATATGTATACTATCTATACCATATACTATGTCTACAAAATTCTGAAACTCTCTGCAAGTGTATTATTTATATAGATCGTAGCCAAAATCAAATGGAACTTTACGTATACTCTCTATATAGTTGATCTTTGATTGTGACTTGAAATCTACAAAATGCACAACTAAATACTTTATATAGGAAACAAGAAATCCAACTATGAAATATATTATAATAATAAAGTAAAATCTAAATCATAAAGCCGAGGCGAATATTCTAAATAAATAAAACTGAAATACAATCCCTAATAAGATCTCAAATTCACGACTTTTTAGAAAACTTAGATCTCAACAAAAATAAATAAAAAGTGAAAAATAAATACGAAATTAGCTAAATAAAAGTTAATCGAATGCTAAAGACTAACTAACTGAACAGATCTTGACTATATAAGAACGACTTGAAGTAATAATAAATCAATTTTGTATTTATTTTTCTTCTTCTGTATCATATCAACGAGAGATCTCCAAGTTAGTTGTCTAAAGTATGAAAACCAAAGTTAGGAAAAAACAAATATTATTAAATGTTTAAATGTTTTAAGGAGGAAATAAATGAAGAGGAAGAGTAAGAGAGATAGAGCACAATTGAAATGGAATGCAGGAAATATTGTTAAAAGGTTGTTGTAAAATTTTTTCTTCTTTTTTCTAGAGGCTCGCTCCCAAAAATATACAATATACCATAGCTATCAAGTATATTTAAATATACATATATATACATACATAACAGCAATAATACCTTATATATCTAACATATAATAGTCAAATCCATTTTTTTATTTTTTATTTTATTGTTCAACAAAAAATATTTGAAGATTTTTGCAAGTTTTTCTACTATTTTCTATGGCATTTTCAAATATAGTAAATTAAATAATTCAAATACAATATAAAATAGTATTCAACACTTTTAAGTTCCTGAGCACATGAAATAGCGAGAGAGAGAAAGAAATATATGGAAGGCCAAGTCTGAAAAAAAAAGAAAAGAAAAGTTAAGATTAAAGAGCTGACCAACGCTTAGCTACCCAATAATATATATGTATATATTATATATATATATATAAATATATATATATATATATATATATGTACTTATGTATATGTGATGTTGTGATATTTGACTCTTTAGCTATATAAGACCTCAACTTGAGTTGGAATACGTTTCTCTCCATATACACATGTATCCATATATATACATATACATACATATGTATATATATTTTCTATATAATATTCATTTCTTTAGTCCAGACCCTCACCCAGTCCACATCCCTTCTCTGATTTTCATTTTATTAGATGTATTCTATGTGATAGATAATCGATCAATTTTTACCAAATGTATCAGCATCTGATCGATACTTAAATATTATGATAAACAAAAACAAAATAAAGTTTATATATCGTATATCGAATATCGTATATCGCCTATTCAGAGCTGTATTCAGTTTGATTAACATTTCAAAAAGCAAAACAAATGCATCAACATAAATATATATATTATATATATGTATATATATGTAAATATACAGTAGAATTCGGTTATAACGACTCCGCTTATAGCGTCTGTACGATTATAGTGCAAAAGTTATGCGGTTATAGCGTCTTCCGGGTAAAACGACGGTTCCGCGACTGTAGCTATAACCGGATTCTTCTGTATCTCTATATATATATATCGTATATCATATATACATATAGTAACAATGCCTCAAGTCCAGAGCGCAGTTCAGACATGAATCAGTTGATAAATCTTGATATTGCAGTTTTTGTTTATTTTTTATTTTCCACACCCTTCACCTAGATATATGTATATCTAGAAATTGGTATACGAAAGTGTCTTACAGCAATTCGACCCAAGCATTTATTAATTTTTTTAACTAAAAGCAAACAGTAATTTTTGGTTTAGTCAAAAGTTTAAGCATCAATAATTTTAATAATTTTTCATATGTTCAAGCTCAATTTAGCTTTAGATACGTTTCGTAATATACAAAAACAAAAGATTCAAGGCTCTCATACATGCCTATATACACAAATACATACGCATATATATACACATACACATACAGCTCTTAACACTTAACAAAAAAAAAATGAATAAATAACAAGATTTCATAGTTTGCATAAACCTTAGCAAATTCTCAATTTCAATTACAAGCAAAGCACAAAAGTTAAAAGAATAAAAAATATGATATATATGATAATGATACTCGAAGAATATTTGAAATAATACAATATAATATTGAACAAATTATATATATATACATATATGAATACAAAAAATTGTTGTTTCGGTTATTCTTTTGTCTTGATGGTTGAGTACAAAATTACTATGAGAAATGTTTATTGAACTAACTGAATCTATGAATGTGAACAATTAAGAATTACATTGATCTATTACATGATATAATATGACATGAAATGATATGATATGATATGATATGATACTAACGAGCTGCAGAGTCTGCAAAATATAACAAACTAGCACAAAATTAAACAAGAAAAAATAAAACAAATACAACAATCAAATAAAACGAACAATTTCAAAAGTAATATCAAAGAAAAATACTTTTATTTTGTTAGTGGAACTGGAAACTATCTAAAAGCAAGTAAGTCCTTAAGTCGGAAATACCAGACTATGCTATACTCTGATTGCATCTTTTCTAGGATTTTTTTGTGATACACGACATTGCTGCTGATCTAGAATATATTGACTTCCTGGGCTCTGTTGTGCCCCCTGATTCCTATTACGAAAATTATATAAAAATTCTACGGAAGAAGAAAAATATGAAAGTTAAAAAATATACCATCCTTAGTTTTAATTACTTTCAGCTCAGTTTTATATCTAAAAAATATTTATGTATGTATCTAGATTTTACATAATGTGGTCACATCATATTCAAGCTGATTATTTTTCAGTCAACATGCAGAATATTCTCGGGATCAATATAGCTGCAACAATTGCCTAAGATCCACTTAAAGAGCCGCATTGTGACGCTTGAGAATAGTTTGAGAAACCTACTGAGAGCATCGCGATTGGCCAACTCACAGAACTCATCCAGACTCTGACCAAATCTCAGTAATGTTTTATTTTCGTTCAGCCAGCAATCCATTCTATATAGTAAAATCCGTCAATGGATCAATTCTTCATGATAAAAAATATACCATTAAAAAAAATGTATGTAACATCGACAGTTGATGGACTTACCCTGGCTGCTACTTAGAAGCTCACAGATATACCATAATCAATTTATGTAAAAAAGATTCGAAATACATTTTTAAATAAAACCAGTCCAAATAGATGATCTAAAATGCTTAGTGTATTTTTTACTCTTGGCTTTCAAAGATTCTGACATATTTTGGCTGAGCAACTAGTTTAAAAAATTGATAGGTGGATATATTGTACTTACTTATCGAGATGCAGATACAAATATTTACCACATTGCAAAAATCAACAAAAATGAAGTCTAGGACTTACTTAATTTTCTCTTCATAGCTCAAAGTTTGTTCATTTCCTTTTCCGATTCGCTAACAAGTTGTAATGTTATCTGACTGTACTTTGAGTGCCTGCATAACGGTTATGTCAAAGCAGTCGCGCGGTCAGCGTTGACGTCGGCGATTGCCTTTTCATGTTTATTTCTGTTTGGTTTGCCTTTCAGCGTGTCGCCTTCACACTTTTCGCTCTGCTTTGCTGTTGTTGTCTGTTTTTTACGGCCATTTCGTTTGCCAATTCTTTTGTCAATTCGATAATGTCAGCACTGAAAGCGGGGGCTAATTTTGTGTTTGTTCTCTGGTTTGTTGTTGTTGTTGCTATTGCTGTTTTCCGTTTTATTTTGTTCACCTTGCCGCATTTTGGCATCGGTGAGGAGGCATCCAAGCAGTTAGCCGCAGCGGCCGCCATTCGCTAAACAGCCGTGCTTACGGCAAAGCGTACGATTTGATTGCCTACGCAAAATCCAGAGTCACCCAAAAAACAAAAAATAAATAAATAAATAAAATAAAGCTAACGGTACGCAGCGTTTTGTCAATAAAATGAGCTACCTCGCTCCAACTGCTCAAAGCAGCAGCAACAGCAGCAGCGCCGCACACCGACTGACCAGTCGCTCGGCTTCGCCTCATCGCCGTGGTCGGGCGAATTCGTTGACGCCATCACAGGATGCGGCAGATTTATCGCCATTGGCCTCACCACAGCCGCTGCACAAGCGCCCGCCACGCCCCACACAGCTCAACGAGATCTTTCGGCCGCGCTGCAACACCGATCCCAGCAACAGCCGCAACAGCAGCCACAGCAGCAGTAATAGCAAAAAGCCAACGGCGACGCGCAGCGTACTAGGCTCGCTGCTGCGACAGACGCTTAAAGTGACAACCGCATCGGTTGGCTTCAGCGCCAGCGAGGAACGGTAAGTGTTTCGCAGCCGCAGCAGCAGCTGCGCCATTGTGCAATTGCGCGGCGAGTTTTGCAGATCGCAGCGAATTGTTGGGTTTGGGTGGCGTGTTGCGCAGCCATTTCTTTCGGTGCGCTCCAATTCGCTCCTTCTCTCTCTCTCTCTCGACTCGCAAGGTCAGCGCACTAAATGAATTTGCTTGTAATTTGTTGTTGTTGTGCATTTTGGAATTGGTATTTGCTTAACATTTACAAAAATTTGTATGTTTTCGTTTTGTTTATCTATCAGCTGGGCACATTTTTTGGCGTGACGGCTGCCCCTCGTTGCCAATTAATTTATTGCATGAGTTTTGTGTTTTGTTTTCGTTTGCCCAATAAACAAATGCACACACACACAGAGTCACACACGCACACAGTTACAGTGAGCAAAGAGATAGGGGCAAAGAGCTGACAGGTTGCGTTTGGCAGCCGTAAGATGGCGCTGCGGCATTTACATCAGCTCCGGCTAATGAGCTTGACCTTTAGTATCTTCTCCTTCGCTCTTGTTATGGATTCTGCCGACATGCGGCTAGTGATGCGTGCGTGTCACGCCAGCAACTGGCCGCGCAAAACAAATTATTATTGTGGCTATTTATCTAGCTAACGTCACGTGAGGTATTTTGCTTCTATCATAATTAAAAGCTACTAAAAGGCTTTTAATTACCTAAACAAATGCAGCCACACACACATGTGTATGTGTTTGGTGTACTCTGTCATTTAGATAATCTACGCATACTTACATACATATATGCCTGTACGTACACGATATGAGAGAAACAAATCTAGCGCTTTCCGTTTAGATCTTTGCAAAATAACACTTCAATAAAAGGCCAGATTTGTCGGGAAATAAACGTGCTGTTCAACACTGTTGTCGACATAATCATCTAAGCTCGCAAACATAAATTGCCTTGATGGTGCATATGTGTGTGTGTGTGTGTGTGTGTGTGTGTGTGTGTGTGTGTGTGTGTGTGTGCATGCGCAAGGTGCTCTCGCGCGACAGAGCACCGCAAAGCTAATCAGCAGCAAACAGCAGCATCTGTGCAGAGCTTGTCCATGCCTAGGGCCCTTACATAGCACACATATACATATGTATGTAGTTAACATACGTGTTTCTGCATGTGTCTTTGCAATGACAATTTATATTTGCATACGCTCTCTCCATACCTCTCTCTCGCTCGCTCGGTCACTCGTTCTCTGAGTTCTTCTAAGCTGCCTGTCTACCTACAATGGGGTAATTTGTACATTAGAGCAGCACTTTGAGCTATAAATTGTTTTTAGAAATCAACTAAGCACGTTCTGCAGCACACAGGATATGTGTACATACACTCACACAGAAGCGTGCAAGCTTGCAATTCGCCGCATATTCGCCAAATTGAGCGCTTGCCACATACAAGTGCTAAATTGTTCCACTGTGTGTGCGCTTCAATTTGGTGGTGGCTTGCGCCCGCACAAACCCACCACCCAGCCGCACAGCTGCTTTGCTAACGGTACTAGTGCTGCTGCTACTGCTGCTGTGAATGCCGCACAACACACAGAGGAGCTGAAACAGCGGCAGAGAAGGCTTCAGTTTATATACATATTTAGTGAGTGCAGAGCGCGTCGTGTCGTTAGCGGTACTTCTCTGGTCTTTGCCAAAAATATTCGCTTTAACAAATAATAAAAGAAAAAGCAATATTCAATAATAACAAACTACAACGGCAAATTATTTGTTTGGCCAGAACACGCAACTGAGAAATCCGCAATACGCTAATTCGCCGCGAGCAGCGAAAGCAAAAGTTAAAGCACACGCACATTAATCAGCAACAACAATTCACAAAAAGTGCAAAAAGTGTTGGGAAAACTTTTACCATACGCAACAGCATGTAAAACTCTTGCGAAAATTTGGCAAAAATCTGTGTGCAAACGCAAAATCAAGGTGAGCGCGCCCTGGCGGCAATGACTGCGTGTTTGTGTATGCGTTAATGTGTGTTCGTGTGTGTGTGTGTGAGTGTCGGCTTTTGCGGCAAGCCTATGCGTTAAGAGGGCGGGTCGCCCGCTGAATTCGCTCGAACAACATTGTTTGCTCTCACTTTTTGCTGTGTTTGTTTTTGTTCATTTCTTAATGCTGCTGCGGGTATGCAAGCGAAAAAGAGAGAACACACACACACACACACACAAACGCGCATTTTGGGGCTTCCTTTTGATTGTGTAATTTTGAGTTATGAAAGTGGAAAGCATAACCTTTGGCTTATGCCTGAGTCCATGTCAAGGTTTGCAAATACTGACACCAGCACGACAGCGTGGTGGTTAAGATTTTAAAGCAAGACCGTTATTTATTCTAAAATTCAAATGCAGCAAGAAACATCTATTTGTAGCAAACTATTGTAACTCGTTAAATAGTTGAGCTCTTGAGCTGATATTTGGCACATATCCTCTTGATATATCATTTATAATGCTTCTATGGGTAAGAACTTGGCTATGTTTGTGACTATAAAATAATTCCACTTGTTGTGGGTTGTGCTTGGAAGTCCTAACTATTTTCTTCTTTCAAACGACATCAGCTGACTTTTTTGCTTCTTTGCAGATTAACGCAACTTGCCACAACTGGTTCGCTAGGCGACAATGCGAAACGGAAACACTCCAGGTAAGCTCTTAACTAATAGAATAATATAAGCAATATTTATTGTCAGATAAAACGATAGCTCTGAGTGCAATTAGTTTAACTTTACTATAGATGGGCTTTAGAATAAATTTTTTTATTCTTTATAAGATAATCGATCTATGCAAGATATTTCGATAATAGTGCGGTCTATTTAAAATCTAAAGCTAAGCTTACTTAAGTACTACAATTATATTAAGCATCAATCGGCACTGTTTATAAAAAGATTCGTAATATGAATGGAATTTTTGAATATATATTTCTGGAAGTCATTAAGCGTGATCTTCACCTTTGCTCAGATACCGTCTGAAACGATTTCGCTATGTCGAAAGCTGATCAGCTATATGATCAGATATGACAAATCAACAAGTTGAATGTCCACATGGATTATAGATTATTATATATATTTTATATACGTATGTATGTGATGTATATACAAAGAGAGAGAGAGAGGAAGAAAGAGCTGGATGATTAGCTGGAGATCGGTGTGAACTAGTTCTGGATTATCAAGAGAAGGCGTGTGTATGTGTGCGGTGTGGCACATTATCGGACATATTGTTTAAGTAAACGTCGTGCTGTGATTTATTAGACCCACCGTATCGAGATAATATTCATATACATACATATATAAATATAATTATATATATGTGTGTGTTTATATATAGCCTCGATCTGCCTGCGTCAATTCTAAAGCCAAAGAGCGAGATCATTTGATTAAAACTCTTTTGTCATCTCGCCTCACTCATCCGTTTGTATAGTCGTGACTGATAGCACGATCCCAGTTTTTTTTTCGCCCTATACAACTTTTTATTGTACATACATATTTAATAATATATGTCTGTATATGCATATGTCTTTTAATATGTTCTAAGTATGTTTTGGTCATAAATCTGTGCAAATTGTGTCAAAATATTTTGGTTGCGCATTAAATGGAACCGTTTTCATTTGAATTTTTGGGTTGCTCATCTTCAAGGGAAACCTAATTCTGATCCATTAATCGTATATAGTGTATATGTTTGAGAAGTGTTTACTCAGAAAATATAAAACGTATAAAGACTTGAGGCAGTTTAAAATGATGCAAATTGCTAGAAGTACACATTTTGTACTTCTAAAGTATTGGGTAGTCTAAAAAGTCTTTTCGTATTTGTAATGAAACTTCAAATCATATTTTTAAATATTTATAATAAACTTTATTAAATCAAATATGCACCATTTTGGTCGACCACCTTTTGCCATTTTTCCACTAGAGACATAATTCCATTCGTGTAAAACTTTCGTGGTTTCTCTTTGAAAAACTGCTTCAAGTGATTTTCACAGGCTTCTCTTGAAGCCAACTTTACTCCGTTAAGGGAGTTCTGCATTGACCGAAATAAATGGTAGTCCGAAGGTGCAAGGTCAGGGCTATATGGTGGATGCATTAAAACTTCCCAGCCAAGCTCTCTCAGTGTTTGCCGGGTCATCAAAGATGTGTGTGGTCTGGCGTTGTCCTGATGGAATACGATGCCCTTTCTGTTGATCAGTTCTGGCCGTTTTTTCGATTGCTTGCTTCAATCTCATCAGTTGTCCACAGTAAAGTGTCGAATCAATCGTTTGACCAGGCTGAAGCAGCTCATAGTGGATTATTCCTTTCCAATCCCACCAAACACACAGCATTACCTTTCGAGCCGTCAATCCTGGCTTTGCGACCATTTGTTGAGCTTCACCACTCTTGCACCATGATCTTTTTCGCACATTATTGTCGTATTTGATCCATTTTTCGTCTCCTGTTACCATTCTCTTCAGAAATGGTTCGATTTCATTTCGTTTCAGCAAAGAATCGCAAATGTTAATTCTGTCCAATAAATTTTTCACAGACAATTCATGTGGTATCCATACATCGAGCTTTTTTTTGTAGCCAGCCTTTTCTAAATGGTTCAGAACCGTTTGATGATGAATGTTTAGTTCATTTGCGATGTCATGGCTGCTTATGTGACGGTCTTGGTCAATCCTTTCCATAATTTCATCGACTTTTTCAAAGATTGGTCGACCAGAGCGAGGTGCATCTTTCACATCGAAATTTCCTGAACGGAA